ATTAATTTTTGTAAATTTTTTTAAAGGTATGGGAAAAAATAAATATCCCATTATAATTGCCTATTTATCCAATTTGTAAAATTCAGTTTTCAAATACCGTCACGGGATCAACTTTTTGTTATAAACAAAACAAACTAATTTTTTAAAACCTGACCTGATTATTTTCTAGTTTGAATAAATCAGTAGATTAGGCGGTAGTAGTGTAAAGTTTGAGTAAAATATGAGACACAGAATTTATTGTTCAAAAGTTATAATGAATAAAAATTTCAGTCAAAATTCATACCTCTCCCTGTATATTATTAAACAATCGGGACAGACACTGTTTAGTGTTACTTTGCTTTTTATTCTCCATACCAGGTAGGAGTATGTACAGTTCCTCATGAAATGACTCACCCTGTATGTATGTATATATTCGGAGTAGTATACATATAAATATGTATATTAATCTCTCTGCCATGTTTTTTTGCTCAGTAATCATAGCCATCATCATCATCATCATCATCCAACCTTCATTTATCACGTCCACTGCTGGACATACGCATCCCTTAAACTACTCCATTCTTCACAATTTTGTGCTCTTTTTTGCCAATTTTTGGTAAAACGTCTGATGTCGTCAGCCCAACGTGTAGGTGGTCTTCCTTTATTACGTTTGTCTGCTCTTGGCCACCAATTTGTAACTTTGCTCGTCCATCGTAAGTCATGCATTCTCGTTACATAGTCCGCCCAGTTCCATTTCAGTTCCGATATGCGTTCCACTTCGTTTCTTATTCGGTCCCGCAACGTCACTCCCAGCATAGACCTTTCCGCTCGTCTCTGTGACCCTCTCAATTTCGTAGTCTTGGTTAGTCATAGTTTCCGCCCCATAGGTCATGACCGGTAATACGCATTGGTCAGATACTTTTCTTTTGAGGCTACTTGGTATATTACTTACAACTGGTAAGAGTGTCTGGCAGTTTTCCAAAGGCTGCCCACGCTAAAATAATTTGTCTTTGAATTTAACATGTTTGGTTATCCCTACTGATTCTTATTTCATGACCCAAATACGTATATTTCTCCACCAGTTCTACCACTTTGTCTTGAATATTTAAATGGTTATTGGGGACCATATTTGTCATAATTTAGTTTTGGTCAAGTTCATTCTGAGGCCACCTTCGAACATGAAAAGTCCAATTCATTAACATATCTGTTGCTTCTCCTAAATTATCTGTGATGAGGACAATGTCATCTGCGAAACGGAGATTTTTAAGCTTTTCGCCGTCTATTGTTACTTCTCTGTGGTCCCAATTGACCACCCTAAAGTTTTATTTTTATTGGTCGGGTTTTATCGTAACAGTCATATGGGGTAATGTCCATATGACTGTTATTTTAACAGTCATATGGACATTTTTAGTAATATTGTAAATTAGTTCACTTATACCTATGGTCAAGCCTGTTGTCATTCATTGCTTCTAAAAGGCTGTCTATTTCGATCGTGTCGAACGCTTCATGAAAATCTATGAAAGTGAGGGCAAACAGTTTATTGTATTCTATAGATTTTTCAATGACTGTATTTACTGTATGGAGGTGATCATTGGTACCATAATTTGATCGGAATCCTGCCTGCTCCCTCGGTTGATAGAAATCTAATTTTTTCTCCAAACTTGATGTCACTAGCCTAGTTCTATTCATTTCATAAAACGTAGGATAGTATGTGACTTCGAATTAGCTAGTTGTTGAATATATAGGCTTCTGAACGATTTGAACGCATTGTAGTTTATATACCAGTTGTATAGAAGTTCTTCAATTGCCAATGACTCGGAATATTTCTTGAATCAATGTTTTTTGATTTGAAATTCCCTTGTATATTTTTCAAGTATTTTACGATCTAATTCTAGATCCTATTTTTTCCTTACTTCCATCATACGACTAATACTGAGTTCAACAAAGGTGCCCAAGCAGTATGAATGAAGCTTTGATCCTTTTGCAAGATTTCCTGAGTCTTGGCCCCATCATCGTCACTACTAACTCTTCATCTAAACGAAACCAATGTTGTAATATATTAGGAGCACTAACAAAAATGTTATATATAGGTACTGCATGATATTACTTGGTTTAAATTAATATTTAATTGTCCGAATATTTCAGTTTTAATCCCCTTTTATTAGCCGTGTAAATCGAATTCGAATTACACATCAACTTTACATTTAATAGTACATCATCTCGTTTAATAATAACTACAGCTCTCGGTAATTGGACTAATTGGATTATTTTTAACCCGCTTAGCGAACAACGCGAACTACCACGTGCATGCGTTTGGGTAATTAGAGAAATACGTTAGTGCGGTAATCATAATAATATCATTATTTCGTTAAAGAGATACAGTATTAAACGGAAATGTTATTTGATTAAGAGAAGCAAAATAATAATCTTGCAAATTTATATATTAATTCTAGCATGTGGTGAATGTTTGTGAGATACAGCTGGCAGGTAATTTAGTCAGAATGTATATTGATTATAAGTGTATATGTGTATAAATATTTAAGGTATTTATATACTATAATACTTCATTCAAGGAGTGTGTAAATACTATATGCTTCAACTTCATTTTTATTACTTATTTTATTTTAGCAGACGAATCATCAGACCTGTTTTATTTATTTTTTTTATCGTTTTGAGATTTCAATTCTCATTTTCTATGCATTTCTTGATGTCTTTTTTATTATAAAAGTGCTAAAAATTCCGGCACGGAACTGTAATATTAATATGATCCAAGTCTATGCTCCCACACTTTATAAGACCGAAGATGAGATCGAAAAGTTTTATTCAGAAGTACATGCTAATTACAAAAAGACCAAAAGATATACATCACCTATTGACAATCAATGGTAACGTGATAAAACAAATAAAAAAATATCAGTACTTGGGAACTTTGATCAATGAAACCAATGATCATACTGTAGAAAAAAACAGGCGAATAGAGATTGCCAGATCTGCATTTATGTATCCATATCCTAACGTGCAAAAATTTAAATTTGGAAATCAGACTACGTACCATTCGCTGTTATATATTTTCAGTATTATTATATGGAGCTGAGACTTGGACAGTAAAAAAATGTAATTTAAAAAGAATCGAGGCCTTCAAACTCTGGTTATACCGCAGAGTCGTGAAAATTTCATGGACTGATAGAATTACAAATAAAGAAGTAATGGAGAGGGTTGGTAAAGAAACAGAACTCATCACCACTATACAAACCAGAAAACTGGAATACCTTGGCCACGTGATGAGGGGAACAAAATATGAAATTTTGAGACTCATAATATAGGGAAAGATTCAAGGAAGAAGATCTGTTGGCCGAAGGCAGAACTCATGGTTAAAGAATCTACGTGATTGGTATCAATGCAGATCGATTGATTTGTTTAGAGCAGCAAGTTCTAAATAAAAATAGCCAGTATGATTGCCAAACGCCGTAGGGAGACGGCACTCTAGAAGAAAGAAGTTTGTTCTGTCTTGTGTTATATGATTCATCAATTTCCAACCAAACAGATTGGACATTGACAAAGCTGGTCTTTTCAATATATTCGTAGATCAATCTGTTAAAATTGAAGAAAATGAATTAAAGTTTCTTTACGCCAGCAATGCCAGCAAAGTACGGACGAAAAAGTCACATAGATGATATTTACAAGATGGGAACATTGCACCACAATCCAATGACTATTACTGATTAACTAGACGTTCAGTTTCTGGGATGATTGTTAAGAATAAACGGGCCGGTTCAATGGTCAACTAGATCGCCCGATCCAACCAAACTTTAACTTCTTTCTTTGGAGATATGAGGAATTCAAAAATCGTAAGATTTAGTTAATTTAGAATTTATTTTTTAAAAAGAGAGTGAAATTTTGTCACCTATATAACAACTACAAATATTTAAAAAATTGTCGTAAGTCACCAAACTAGATCATATTAAAAATGATTTGCCAATAAGTAATTAACTCTTATAATTTGAAATTATTTTTAAAATTTCATATCAGTTTTTTCACAGTAACATAATTTATTGACTGCTTGCAAAAAAGTTTACATTGTCTTGAAAGTAAAACGGTCAGATGCTCGAGCGCTCGCTCCGCGAGAAAAGCGAAATGCTCTGGGGCGGCCAACCCGCGGCCCGCCGGGTGTCTATTTGTGGCCCCTGGAGCATATGCACACATTTTTTCTTTATGTACTATGATACATTCGTCAAAACCATCAGAACGTAAAGCTGACGTTAAAAAATACGCGCGTGTATCTGCGCGTGCGTGGACAATTCATGTTTTCAATTGTTATGTTGCGAGAGTTCAACCGAAATTCTGTAGCAAGCTTGCAATTTAGTCTAAAGTATAATTGCTTCCATTGTGTGCGTTATCGCCGTAACTTTTACAAACACATTGATACGAGTACAAGTTTCTCTACCTAATCAATATCCTGTCTACTTTTTTAAGTGCGACGAAGGTAAGCAAACCCAGCTTTTGTTTTTTGAATTAATCTATGATAGTTTCTGTCAGAAAGTTATGTAATACTGATTCATTTTACTGATTACTTTAGTTAAAAACGAAGACGCATAATGGCGTCAAGTAGTAAAGACGTTGGACTAAAGAAGAGAAGAGTCACATAATAAGTGACTATTTTAAAGACAAATGGATAAACTACTACTTTTTCGTGAAATTTAAAACAAAGCCAATATGCTTGATATGCAATATTTCTGTTTCTGATTAAAATTAAACGGCAATATGAGACTAAACATGCAAATACGTACAAAGGACAATTTCGACAAGACCGAGTAAATCTATTAAAAAAACTTTCTGTACAACGTCAAATATTAACTAGAACGGTTCAAGAGTCTGCATGCTATGTAGAAGCTACTTATGCAAGAGCCATGATACTAGCAAGAAAACTGAAGCCATATTCTGATGTAAAATAGTTAAAGAATGTTTGAAGAGTGTCATTGAAATTCTGTGCCAGAAAAGAAAACGGATTTCTCCAAAAAAACATGCCTTGTCAAACTATTACTAGGCGTGTCGACGACATTGGAAAACATATTGAGGAGAATTTGAAAAATCGAGCATCTAATTTCATATTTTATACTCTAGCATTGGATAAAAGCACATATTTAACAGATACCGTTCAAGTGGCGATATTTATCAGGGGTGTTGATGTCCATTTCAACGCAAAAGAAGAATTATCCTTAGTGTGCTTAAGCACACTACCTGCTCACGAGATTTCTTAGCTATAATGGTTGGAAAATATTAAGGGTTAGTAAAATTGATTGGACATGAGACCTGTAAATTTGGTAATATTCGATACTCAATTTCCATTCCATTATTCATCAGGAGAATGTATTTGCAAAGTAGGGATCATATCATGAAGTTAGTCATCAAAACAGTGAACTCTGTTAATCGAAACAGTTAAATCACGTCAATTTCAAAAGGTTTTGAAGTCTGCATTCACAATAATGACGTTACATTTTATGCATAAGTGAAATGGCTGAAAAAAGTGTATGACTTGAAGGAAGAAATGCAATAAATCATTGCAAGAAAGTCAACAGTATTCCACAAAATTTGGAGACAAGGAGTGGGTTAGCGACTTTAATAATATGGATGATGTTCTTTCCGCATTCCAAATGAAACTTTACCTTTGGGAACAACAGTTAAGGAGAAAAGTCTTCACTCACTTTTCTACGTTGTCGTTGCAGTTAGCCGTTACATAAATGGCAACGGATAAATATGCCTCGTTAATATCCAAAGTGAACTTGAAATTGAATCAGATTGGTTTGGAATAGTTTTATAAAGCATATTTGGGCAAGGAGAAATATCCTACATTTTACAAATATGGTTTGTCCATTATTTCGCTATTTGGAAACAACTACAGATGTGAACATCTTTTTAGTAAAATAAAGCATATTAAATCTCGAATGAAAACACGAATAAGTAATGAGCATTTGAAAAACTGTTTGCGGATAATAACAAAATCATAATACTGCTGCACTTTCTGATTAATAAAATCAGCCGTTTCACTAAAATTTATTATATTTGGTTTATTTTTTTTTTGTATTTTTGTATGTAACTCTAATATAATAAATGTGATTCTCATTTTTGTTATATTTTCTTTAGAAACTCTTTGCCCGCTAGCAAATCTCATCTCTAAAATTTGGCCCGACTGCTGAAAATGTTGGTCACCCATGCTCTGGTGGGAGCGGGTTCGGATCCTGACCAGGTGTACAGAAAAATAAAAAGACTAACGTAGTAGCTTAAAATTCCAAATGACTCTGTAACTTAAACTAGAATACGCTGGTGTCTAATCGGCCTATGGTGGAGCAGTAGGGCAGGAGATACGATTTGAGGCTTGGTGATACTCCTCCATGATGCCTACAGGAAGAGCGTGATTTTATTATATATATATTATATATATATATATATATATATATATATATATATATAATCATATGCTTGTTGATATGCTTTTCATTGAAACAAAATAAAATTTAAGCAGTTAAGTAGCTAGTATACTCTCTTCTGGCTGTGTTGCTTGAAACAAACAACGAGACATGATTTGGATCAGGTTTTTAAATTATATTCTGTGGAAGATGTCTCTAAATGGAAGAAGAATGGAATTTAAATCTGGCCAAAGAAATCGTGTGATTTGAACTTTATTAAGATACTGAGTAACTTATCCGAGCAGTGTGGAGTGTATTATCGTGAATAAATGTTGCGTCGTCTCCAATAATAACCATAAATAGTAAAATTTGGTCTTCTAGAACCTCTGTCAGGTACCTAGGCGTAGTGAACGTCCCATTCTCGTTAAAGACTCATGCCATAACTAATCCTCCTCCGAATGGTAGCCTCTTACATATCTATTGACAGAACCGCGATTCATCGGAAGACAATCCAAGACTCCAATTTGCTTTTGTCCAAGCCAAGTGTTCTCGTACAAAATTTATTCTGACAATCTGATGTTCATAGGAAACCGACGGGCAAGTAACTCTAGTTCCAGTAGATAATCCAGCAGTATAAAGTCGCTTCTTAACTGTTCATCCACTCATGCTTACATTTCTCACTTCTCGCAGATGATTTCAAAGGGAAACTGTTGTGAACCTTCGGTTTCTCTAGAAATGAGAAAGTGGCCTCTAGCTGTTGTAGTCCTGCTTCGTTCTGAACCAGGTTTTCGAATGATCAGACCAATCTCTTCGCAGCACACTTGAGAGACTTAAACCAACTTTTCTCGCAGTTTCGCGTAAGCTGCGGCCATCTAAAGCCGTCACACAGAATTTATGCTCCTTGCAATACTGATAAAGAAAATACTAGAAAAACAATTTGCATTCCATAGATAAAGTCACAGATAATGTATGGTGATAATGATTTTAAGTATTTGGGTTGAGGAGGGACATTTTCTTTGTCACAAGCTTTTTTCAAGGAATCAGTTAGTAAGTAATAATTGTTTACAAATGTAAACTATTACAACCGAAAAAAAATAAAAATTAGTAAAGTAATTTCTTAGGGGAAGAACATTTTTTACAACATAAAATAAAGCGTATTTATTAAGTATTCGTAGATTGCTCAGTTTTTTAATTTATTAGTCGTATGTGAAATTTACCCATTTTTAACAAACATTTGCAAGTCAAAGAGGAAAATAAATTCCTGGAAGATGCCATCTCCTCGTTTATTACAGCAAAAAACTTATTTCTCGTTTTCATGGATGTCTAGACAAGGAACATACACATGTCAGAACAATTTGGGCAATTTCAGAACAAGATTGAGTTGATCCGCATTATTTTTATCGCTAGGCTCCCGATGAAAACACAAAAGTGTTGAATTCAGACCGGATTAGAGTTCGGAATACTTGCCGGAGATCAAATATAAAATAAGCTGAAGTAGGTTCGGGTAAGAGGGAGCAAAAAAGGAGGATAAACAATCAAAAAAGGTTTATATATTGATGTAACAGAAAAGGAAGATTGGATTTTTTTTATTTTTTGGAGCCGCTTTTATATCGCATAGAAAGTGTTTCGATGACTGTCTGTTCTATCTGAGTTGTTTGTTTGGATTAATCTGTAAATGGAATAAAACAGAAAATGAAAAATGCTTATATTTACTTTTAGAGTATATAGGAACATTCAGCTGAAGGACTTTCTATGTTGAGTATACAAAGTAATATATATATATATATATATAGTATATATATATATATATATTATATATATATATATATATATATATATATATATATATATATATATATTAAAATTGATGGATTCGACCGTTACTTGATGGAAATTCATTTTATGTAACAATAAAACACTGAAAACTTTGTTTTCAAACTTCCACAAAATTTATTTTAACTATTATCACTACAGCTGTTTCAGCTGATTGCCTTTCTCAAGTGATCTATGTTTGGCATGCGTTTACAATTTATAGTCTCTAACGAAATATGTTGAGGAGGGGAGAACTGTTTGTCTCAAGTTGGTCATTCAGAATTATATCTGTGTTTTTTAATTTGTTGATTTCCATAGATTCTAACAAAGATAGCTTAAGGCCTTTATTTTGAATGTGAAGAATTTTAAATTTATCATTAAAAGAATGATTATGATCTAGAAGGTGAAGTGCGTATGTCGAATCTGTTTTTCTATTATTGAAAGCCCTTCGACAGATTCGACATACGCACTTCACCTTCTAGATCATAATCATTCTTTTAATGACAAATTTAAAATTCTTCACATTCAAAATAAAGGCCTTAAGCTATCCTTGTTAGAATCTATGCAAATCAACAAATTAAAAAATACAGATATAATTCTGATTGACCAACTTGAGACAAACAGTTCTTCCCTCCTTAACCTATTTCATTAGAAACTATAAATTGTAAACGCATGCCAAAAATAGATCACTTGAGAAAGGCAATCAGCCGAAACAGCTGTAATGATAATAGTTAAAATAAATTTTGTGGAAGTTTGAAAACAAAGTTTTCAGTGTTTTATTGTTACATAATATATACATTACTTAAGGAAAATGAATTAAAAAGATCTAAGCTATGGAGAAATAGTTGATAACTAGAACATATAAAAATAAGAATAGAGAGAACAGAAACATTAGAAGATGGACAACATGGAGTTTTGACAGTAAAATATTGCAAAGGCTAGCCTGATAAAACACATTATAAAAAATCTTTGAAAAGCATGAAAAATAAAAAACTTATAGAATAGATGTGGAAAAGGGTGACTTTTTCTTCTTTAAGTACCTTGTCCTCCAAGAACATTGTTGGTGCTGACTCCGTAACACTGGCGGTAGTTCTTAAGCCAGGATGTTCGTCGTCGTACAGAACCACGTTTTCCTTTTATTTTCCCCTAAGTATTTATACAGTGAACGGCTAAATTATGGAATATTATCATTATTTCGAGAACCATCGAGTTTAGACGGAAATCCCGAAACAGGTCGATTTTTATTATAAAATACCCATCTCATAACGTACATGGAGTAGGGATGACGTCACCGGTGTGGGTGTAGTGACATAACGGTTAATTTTTTTAAATAGAAATTGGTATAATGCGACACCTCATTTGAAGGAGAATTTAATTCTCTATTTAACGACGTTACATTTTTAACTAAAATATTTTTTTAAGCGTACAAAAACAATTTTTTGAAGTTATACATCCATACGCGCGCTCGACGTTGAAAATTTGTACGGGAGTGAATTGGTGAAACCATTACCTATGTAAGATATGAGTAAGAGAGAGACAGAAGATATATTTTCTCTCTCTTCCTCTCTCGAGAATAAATATGTTCCTTTTGTATATATTTAATATTATATATATTGTATGTATAATATAATATATAATAACATTACTATTTATGTGGTATGTTTTGTATTATTTATTAAATGTTCATAATTATTTTAGGCTTTTGTATTTCAAAATAATAATAAATCACTGTATGACCGAGAACTGTCAATTTTGAAATCCGTTAGTGTCATGTCTAATTGGCGAATTTTTTACGTGTTTTGTTCATACGCTGGTGTATGTGAGTTCGAATCCCAATATGAATTTCTTTTTTTATTTTTGAAACATTTAAAAACCCCACGTTAATCTTATTAAATATATGTAATATACGCAAAAATGCTAAATTTTAAAATAAAATGAAAATTTACAACATAATCCGAGTTGTTGGTTTTTTATTTTTAACTTCCACAAGCATTTTATGAAGTTATACTTCTATACGCGCGTTCGACGTTGGAAATTTTCTC